GTATTGAGCGAAAAGTTACAGCAACCCTAGTCGGCAAAGCAGCCCCCATTTACTTTCGGGAGGCATTTGGGATGATCCTATGCGAATCCCTCACACTTACTACTGGGACGTCCCAGAAGTATACATGCCAGAGGAAATTAAGTGTAATAACTCAAACCTTTCATTGAAATTTGAAAACTTCTCCAAAATATGTATTTTTGGATAGAAAAAAGATTGTTTTTTCTAAACACTTGGATGTAGAAGATTCCGAAGATTCAAACAACTGACAGTTGCTTTCCTTAGTGTCGAGTTCCTCTCGCGCAATAAACGCATCGTGACGGGGGTGGGGCTGACATTATCCTGCTTGTTTCATTTCGGCAAGCGGGCGGTCGGGTGGTCCCGGGTCGGTCCCGGGCTCGGCTGGGTGGGACGTCAACGCAGCGACCCTGCCTTAGGAGGGGCACGACTGGCCAGCGCTTTGCATACGGTCCAAGATATATGAAAAAAAAATGGCGCAGTGATATTCGTGTATTCGTCGCTGGGGTCATTTTTCACTCTCACGAATTAATTATTAAGTTGAATGAAACAGTTAATTTTATTCAATTATCCATAATTAAACCAATCAATATATTTTATTTTAATCAATTTCCCCATTGTCTCTGGAAAAAAATGAGCTTTAAAATGCCTTTAGAGGCCTGAGTGAAAGAGTGCCTGTACAAATGCGAAACTGGCCCAACGTGCTATTTTGGGAACTTTTAGTCCTTGTAATAACCATAGGGTCTGGTAAAACACTTTAAACTTGCCAATATTTTTCATTCAAAGACGCCAATATTTGGCGTTCTAAAGAAGAACGCCAACTAGTTTACAGTGAGGGCTTATTTTCTTAAAGGTGTCTTTACCTTTGTGTTCTAACTATCTGCGTGCGAAATTTCGGTGAAAATTGCACATTTTGGCCATAATGCGGCCCTTGTCATTTTCCACGATCATGTTTTCTTGTCGTATCGACCTATCCTTCTCACTCGACACTGACCCTCTGTAGACTCAGTGTGACGGGTTGGCACGCCGTGGCACCGTTTGCCGTGCTCCCGTCGTCACGCTAGCGACGCCTCTGGACCCCCACGATGCTCCGCCAAACGACGCATTGTTCCAAGCTTATCGATTTTAGCATGCTGACTCGCTAGTTTCGTTACCTATCGCTGTATTTTTTTAACTTATATATTTTCGAATAAGGACTTATTTCTTTAAACCTGTGTATTGATCTTCACTGAATAAATGCTAATCGAAGTGGGTGCGCAGTTCCTAAATGTATTTAAAGTATTATCTTACACAGATCATAATACATTTTCTGATAGACATGTACACATGTACACTTAGTGTCTCTAAAAAGGAACGAAACTACCATGAGACATTAACATTGCGTGCCGGTTAATCGTTTTCGTTCATTTAAGGAGACATTGAAGTCTGAAATCGTTCGTTCTGCTAAGTTTTGTAATTAATGTTTTTGTAATAGTGTTTTTTGAAAGTTATGTCTTACACTCTACAAGTCTTCCAAATAAACGCTTTGTTACTTACGATGAAGTTTGAATAATGTAAATAATACATAAAGGATTTATTCGTAATACTACAACTGGATCCGTTGGTGTATCGAATTATATTTTGAAGAAATGTAATTGTATATTACAAACAAGTTGCGTGTTTGTGACTACAGACACAAAAATTGTTTTCCTCGCGGCTAGAGACAGGCAGTTTATTTCGAACTCATACTGTTTTACAAATCAATGTTGCTTATGATGGAGGTTCAAAGTTCGCCGTAACGTACCAACTGCTCCTTCGTAATATTTTTATACGGTGTAAATATGGACTTCGTTTTTGCGTGGACGACGTCCACGACAACGCCCTCTCCTCCAATTCTTCCTCCCCTCCCTGCGTCACCGCTTCTCCACTTCATCCTCCCTCTCCCCACTCTCCCCCTCTGGTGAAGAGGGCAGGGATTGGGAGAAGGGGGGTGGGAGCAGAATATCCCTGATGATCAACCCTGGGGCCACCTCACTCTTGTATATAACGGAGGGTCACGAGCCATGGGAATCTAGTTTCAGTTTTGGGTCTAAGAGCAGAGCAGCAGCAGCAGCAGCAGCACACAGCAGCGACAAACATGGCAGTTAACGCTCAGGTATGACTTTTGGGTCCTGGACTTGTGCGACTTTGTTTAATGGATAATCAATTTATCACCAAAATTGTGTTTACACGTGTTCTATGGCCCTTGTCACATGAAACTAACGATCAACTGACGGGCAACCATCTGCCGACCAACTGGCGATCGATAGTTTAATGTTCGAGGGGTCCTCCACTTCCAAAATAGGTGTAGAACGAGTTGGTGAGTTGACGAGTTGCCGCTTGTAGGGCATGAGTTGGAATCAATTTTGAGAGAGTTTTGCGCTATTTTTCGCAAATTTAGCGCGACTTTTCACAAATTTTTGCGAGTTTTTGCCAGTCTTTTTGCGATTTTTCGCGAGTTTTTGCGAGTTTGGCGGAAGTTTGACGTGAGTTTGGTGCGGGCAACTGTACAACGAGTTGGCTAGTGGGGGACCCCTCGTAAATGTTACAAGGGTTAGTAATGAAAACTACTTAAGAAAGGTTATTCTAGTGCGTAACTATGTCTTAAATTTGGTTGACAAAATACCTAAAAGAAAATTTGTGCAAGTCCAAAAAATTTAATACACTGGTAATCTGATTTTATATATTGGTCGTTTGTTAACGTTTGTAGAAAAACAGATATTTTCCCTTTTCTCAACTTACACAAGTAACTTGGAGTACTCACCGTATAATTCATGGTATTCTTATAAGAAGTTTGAAGCGCTAGGAAGAGTCGGTGGTCTAGGATATAAATTTTCTGAAGACGCCAAACGATAGGTGCATCGTTTGCCGATTTCGGTAAAATGGTATCTTGAGCCTCCGATATTTCCTGCAACTGAGTCTTTCTTAGCAGCCCCAGGAAGGTATCGATATTTGTTCTTCCAGTACGTGTGTCGATAATTTCGCTCATGACAAAAAGCTTACTATAAGGCTGCCACCCACTTGCATTGACTTGGGATGAC